ATTTGTAATTTAATTTTACATATGTTAGACTAATTTTTCATTGTATTGGATGCATGTTTGAACCCTATTTTCATTTATTTTAATTCAAGATATCAATTTAGGATTTTTCTGTTATTATTTGATTGATTTTACATACTCATTGTACTACTTATTATTTGATCACCAATTAAGTAGTTAATTATTAGTTGTAGTGTAGGAATGCTCACAATAAGTCTAGAATACGGTAAAATCAACATGTGTAGTTAGAATTAAGATTAATCTCTTTCACACATGCAATCTTGTTGATAATTTAAACCAAATGCATGACTTTCTATGAATTCGGATTACGAATAAGATCGTCTCATGTTAGTCATAGGTTGATATATCTTACGAAAGGACGTTTAACATATTAGCTTTATCGATTGTCAAAAATGCATGAATTTACTAGATTAATTATTGCGAATTGAAATAGATGGAAATATGGGGATTTGTGCTTCCAATACAAGCATTCACATATTAGAAAAACATCATATTTATTTGTTTTTTTAGAGTAGAACTTAGTATAAACAACAAAACACAATTCTCTTTTGTGGTTACATTTCAAATTTGATAAAAACAATTGAACTAGAAATTAGACATTATTCCTCTTGCTAACGATACTCTTAACTCACATATTTTATTACTTGTACAACGATCTCGTACGCTTGCGGGTTTCACGCGAACAGACACCAGTACAGACAAGAGTTTTTTTTCTCCGTGTCATAATTTACCTTCGTGCACGATTAACTCAGAAGGTCCTATGGTTGTGATATTATCGTCTTCTTGCAGCGGTTTCTCGCTGTGCATTGAAGAAGAGGGCAGCAACGGGTAGGTCGAGGTCATTTTCTGCAGCAAAAGTTCGAGTGCTGAAATGTAGGGAACTTCGTCCACCTAATACAACTGTTTGTCTGCCTTTTTGCTTGAAGAGAGCAAACACAAACCTATGGATACCTATGTTAGGCCTTGGGGTTTCATAGATCTCCAACTCTCTTCCTGTAAAAGTAACATTTCCATCTCAACTATTAATTAATCCCAGATAAAGATTTATATTCACTATCACCAAAAGTGTGGATAGTGATCTTACCAAATGTGGCATCTGTCGTGCCTGGAATGTCTGTAACTAACCTGTAAAATCGTTTACATTAAAAAAACCTTTAATTAGTAGGTTTTTTTTTTCTTTAAAGAACTTCTTTAACTCTGTGATTCTCTACGTGTAAGTAAATATTAACTGGAATTCGTACTCATGGAATTATACAATTTAAGAGGGGGGGTTAGGTCTGAGTTTCAAAAAAAACAAACCAACATGATACTAGTATAAACTTAACGACTTGGGGCTAAAGCAAAAAAAAAAAAAAGGGTCGTAGCTCATCAAGTGTCGTATATAATTCTATTTTTCTGTTCACTCTGATTTAGTTAAAAAAGTGAATAAAAATTTTCTTGATTACTGGAACATGGTTCGAGTAATATATGACTCTAAAATGTTAAGACTATTTTCTTGATCATGAAATCATCAGCTTGATTAACCTGAGAATGAGCCTAATTAAATCTAGGATTCAGTTACTAGACTATGCCTCTATATGTAATTCTCTTGTTCTCCTCCCTTGTATTTTTCGATTAAGATTTAGATCCTTGTTCGGATTCCATTTTTTTTGAAAACTCATTTTCAATCACACATTCTCTCAATAAAGTAATAAAAATAAAATCATATATCTTATAGTAATTATACCAATGGAGGTGCTCCTTGAGATATGGATCACTAGGTCCAGGGACATCAGGATCAGTCATCACCTGCAAATATAAAGGACAAAATAATTGGACGAGATTTTAGTTTCTTTTTCTTAATTAAAACCAGTACTGCAGTTTAATTCATTACACCAAAATGCTACTAATACACCAGTTCGAGATTTAAAATCAAGAATGTAATAGTGCATAATATACCACATACCAGTGTATAAAAAGTTCTCATATCACCTCCTTGAATCTCAACCCTTGGTCTGGTGTCGACTGCAGACGGATAGAACTCATGTCCATTGTAGACTTGTCTATTGCCATAAGTGACTGACATTTTTATGGTTGGAGAGAAATAATCAAGAACATCCGTTATTACTCTCCCGAGTACAAGGGGTTCCAACAATCTCTCCATTATTTCGAGAGAGGGAGAGAGAGAGAGCTGTGAGGAGGTTTCTGGTTGGACAAGAAAATAAGAGATGCCAACAAATATATAGGTACAAAAGTAGGAAAAGAGGACATGCATTGTATCAGACCTAAGAACTTTAACCCAGCCTCTTTCCAGTATTTAAAACTTCTTCTATTTCATTTCTTTTTCCTTTTTGGGATGTTTTCTAGATAATTTTTTAGGATAAAAATTGACAATAGAAGCTCAATGACTTATTTTAGGCTTTAAACGGTCAAATTAATTGTTTGAACTTTCGAGCTCTGATATCAAATTAAACCCTTGTTTGGTTTAATTATTTAAAATCATATTTTTAGTAAATTTTCATAAAAGTTGATGAGAAAGACTAAAAAAGTTGTTGGTCCAACAAAATGTGTAACTAAAATTAATTATTGATTTTAACTTAAAATTTTATCAATTTTCTTAACTAAACAAAAGAAGGATTAAATTTAGAGTTTCATGGTGAAGTCAAATTGTTTGCATCAAATTGCTTGGTTGAGTACCTAAAATGATATTAAGTACTTTAAGGAAAATTTACAAAATAGGCCGAAATTGTATTTGGTATACCTTATTATTATTATTATTATTATTATTATTATTATTATACACACTACATTTAGAGCATACCAATCAGTAATTTTTTTTTTGATAATCGTGGATGTCGGAGTCAACTTGTGCGCATCTCGACTAATTCCACGGGGTTTTGAAGTTTACGGTTGGGTATTCATCTCAGTTGCCCTGAGGGGACTCGAACTGATGACCATTGGGGAGCTACCAGAAAAATTTGTTGGGTGATGGGAATAAAGGTGGAAATGGAGAAGGTAGAGAAAGTGCCAGTGGTGTCGACATTGGGTGAGTGTGGTTGAGCCGTCCGGTAGTGGTGGTGATGGTTTTGGGGTGGGGTGGGGTAGATAGAGAAGAAAACTTTGGTTTTTGATTTTTAATTTTAATGACTTGATTTTAGATATTTTACTATAAAAAAATGTAAAATTACCATTTTAACCTTTTAAAATTAGTCAAAATTATTGTCAAAATCAATTTTTTGGTTAACTAACGGTCAAACTAACAGAAACCATTCATTTGGACTTCAGGTGCGACATTTTGAAAGATTTGGTAGTTGATACCGTGGGGTGGCACAAATAAAATGTTTGGTATCATGTGTAGTACAAATGAAATCTGGACAAAGTCTGCTACTAAATGAAAAGTTTGGTACCGTTGCTGCAATTATCCCTAAAATTAGGGAGGATACGATTATGGGAATAGAAAGGTGGATTGAAGTAAAAAAATTTCTTATAAGTGAATTCTTACTTGTAAGTATTTTTTACAAATAAGTTAATGTTTTAATTATCGGGTTAATTCCACAAAAGGTCACTGAAGTTACAGCAAAATAACAAAATGGTCACTGAAGTTACAAAATTGCACTAACGGTCACTTAACTTACACTCACTTTCAAAAATGGTCACTGAGCAAAATTAAGGGACTTATTTGTTCTAATTGAAAACTGAAATTAACAAAACAAAGCCCTTCAAAATTGGAGGGGCTGAACATCAAAGATGAACCAATACCTGCAGAACTTCCCATCTCCGTCACCGTCGACTTCCACCTCAGACCGTCGAGTATCACCACCACCGGTATCGGCCTCACCCGCCCGATAAATCCCAACCACAATCCCAACCTCACGCCGCCCCCAAATGCACCCCCATAGCC